CTTTGCATATTTTGATGGTAAGAAATGCAATTCACTGGGCCTTTTCAGTTTAGAGAAATATTTTAAATCAAGCTTCAAAAGCTAGTTCTTAACAAAATTGCAATTCAGCTAGGTGGGGGCATCTAATAGATATTCTGCTCAACTTGCTGATGTTGAGAATAAAGAATGAACTTACCAGATATATTTCCTTGTTTCTCTGGTCTTAACGAACTGTAAATTCTTTAGTTTTAATGCCGTATGAATTTTTTTCATTGATATTAGACAGAATTCCGAAGAAGACATTTCACCTTTTCTTCTCTTAAAATGTTTATAGTTGGAGAAGATGTAGTTACTTTTGAGTTTTTAGACACTAATTTTCATCTTTCACACAATTTCTTCTATATACAAAATTTCCCAAAAGGGTTTAACAGGACGGTTGTTATATAAACACTTGTCATGTGGTCAGATACATTTGGAAATTGTGTTACACAAGAACAGTTTTTCTTTCCTAAGGATATCTCAAAACCTTTGCTGTATTATGTGTATTATGAATCTCCAAGAGGAGGTTATAGCATTCAGTGTTTCCCAAACACATTTGGAAAATCTTTTGTATGGAATCACCTTTTTTTTTTTTTACGCCTACAGCAGGTGGTCTCCCATCCAAGTACTAACCAGGCCCAACCCTGCTTAGCTTCCGAGATCAGACAAGATCGGGCACGTTCAGGGTGGCATGGCTGTAGACTGTATGGGATCATCTTGAGGTACTTGTTCCATGAACACACTTCAGAGAGCACTGCCACATGGCATGGAACTACAAGATTATTTAACTTCCATGTGTTTTCACTGTGTTTTCACTGAGTTAATATTTCCATCGTAGCCTAAGGACAGCTATCTTGACATACACTGTGGAACTGAGATCTAGATCAGGGTCTTTCAAACTGGGAGGCTGTCACCCATTGGATCATGGATATAATGAGTCAAGATCCGCATTAAAAAAACCAAAATAGAATAATATGGAGTGGGAAAAAATGACAAAATAGATATTCTATGAAATTTTCATTTTAGTTATCTAGACATATACATGGCTATAGATGATGCCACCACAAAATATAGTTTGGACTGTGGGTTGTGGTCAGAAAGTTTGCAAAAAAAGATATTCTAAATTATAGTCACAACTTTACTGGGTCCCACCCTGTTAACCACAGTCATGATGCTCTGGAGGAGAATTTCAGTTAAAGAAGTCTCACCTACCTGACAACAGAACAAAGATAACTTATGATTGTCTCTCACCCCCCAGAATAGTAAGAGTTGTAATTTCTAAGCTTTGAAACAGGAATAACTAACTTGCCAACCTATAAATGACATCTGGCCTTGGACTTGGTTTCATCAGTCCATAGCACATGTATCAATACGTGGTCTCACTTATAATTATAGCTGCACAAAGAAAACAAAACTTTCAATGTTTTCAGTGACAGGTTTAGAGATTGGAACTTGGTAATATGAACCCTAAAAGAGGAACTTTGAGCATAAGATGACATTTACTACTATTTAGTAAGTTAAGATTGTCACTAATACGAGAGAATTTCAAGAATGTCTTTACTTCCAAATCAAAAGCCATTTTCTTAACAATTTCTGGAAGTAGCTATCTATTCATTTTTTAAGCCAAGATCTTTTACAAAGACTGCTTTGGAAAAGATTTAGGAATTTTTCTGTTATTCCCTTTTCTACTTTCTTCCTTCCTCTTCATCTTAATACATTGTAATAAGGAATGAAAACATGTTTATCACCTATCATATTCATTGAATAGGCTTTTCCTTCTTAGGTTTCATTTAAAAACATTAAATATCTATATCCTAACTAAATTGTTTATTCATTTATATTGCTTTAATTTTTAAATTTTGTTTTTAAAAATAATGGACATTGGCCTTTAATAGAGAAAGAGATTCTCCTTTGCTCTGGATTTGGATTGTGGTCCAAATGATTAAAGCATAGAAAATTGGATTCTAGTTCTGGGTCTGCCATTAACTAGCTGTGTGACTTTGAACACGGCATTTGACATTCTTAAATTTTCTTCATTTGTGAAATAAGGGGGCTGCTTCGTATCTATGGATCTAAATGTTTTTATACACTGGTATGCTCAGGGCCAATCCTGTGTCCCTTTGGGAACGTGTGTGTGTGTGTGCGCGCGCGCGCGCGTGCGTGTGTGCATAAGGAAAAGCATTGGGAGTGATATGTGAAGATGGAAAAAGTGTCTAAGACACATCTCTTTCAGGAGTGGAATAGTATATATGCACTCCTGGCTGCTGAGATCTTGTATCAGAGTACAAAATTGTTTCTGAAATTTCAGCCCTCAATTGAATTGTAAGCAATGCTGGTCCTATGAGGATGTGACCACCCACCTGTTTTAATTTTAGTCATATCCCCAAATACCTATTCACTCTTATCCAACCTCCTTCTCTGACCCCATCCTCCTAGCCCTAGCCTTATCTATTTTGGTCTGAAATTTTGATCATTAGAGTCACTATTGGATTAAGATAAGTTTTGCAAAGTATTTTTCAAACAACACTAGTGGCTTGAGATGCTCAAGTCAAAAGGATTCTGGTCAAATAAGTTTCAGAAATGCTGCCTATTATAGTCTCTCTCAAATATTTATAGTCCATATAATAATCTTAAAATAAGGAATCCTGTTTAATTTTCTTAACTTGGAGCTCCCAACTTAGTGTGAACATTAAACACTCTTTTCATTTTTAATCCCTGTTAATCTCACATAGAACATTCCACAGAATGTTCTTGAGCAATGATCATTTAGATAACAAAAAGAGGGATGCTGTCTCCAGAAGTCTGTAAATAAGACTCATGTATTCTTTGTGGGAGAGACTTTGGGTTCTTTCCATTAAGCTGCATCAGTTTATTTAATTAGTTTCTTAAAACCTAGGTACCAAGGGGATGACTGTTGGGGGAGGATCAGAAGAGGGATGCGGTAGGTGGCAGGAGCACAGCAATTCCTGGGTGTGGATGGGTTAGAGAAGATAGAACTGATAACAGTATATGATGTGGTGGTCTAAAGATGCTCGCTCCCCCCAAAACATCCATGTCAAATCCCTGGAACCTGTGAATGTAACCTTATTTGGAAAAAGAGTCTTTGCAGTTAAGGATCTTGAGATGAGATCCTCCTAGATTATCCAGATGGGCTCAAAATCCAGTAACAACTGCCCTTATAAGAGACACATGGAAGAGAACAGACACACAGAAGAGGAGGCGGTGTGACCACAGAGGCAGAGACTGAGTGATGTGGCCCCAAATAAAGGATGGCTAACAGCTGCCAGAAGCTAAAAGAGGCAAGGAATGGAATATCCCCTGGAACCTCCAGAGGGAGCAGCCCTGCTGGCTCCTTGATTTCAGACTTCTGGTCTCCAGAGCTGTGAGAGAATAAATTTCTGTTGTCTGAAGCCATGCAGTTTGTGGTAATTTGTTATGGCAGCCACAGGAAACTAATATAAGGAGGACGCGCCCTGGAGGGGAAACTAAAACAAAACCTTAGCCACAATGGATGTTGTCCAGAGTCCGCCCTGACTGGTGTTTACACAGCAAAGGCTCAGTGGGAGTGCCAGCTCTGAACCTGGTGGGTTTTGGAGCAGAGCTTTATCCTGGGATGGGATTCGTGCATCCACCTCAGGTTGCTTCTGAGTCCAGGGCACCAGCCCTTGTAATGTGGAACATGACTTGTCTTTCCTTCTTCCCACAGGCCACAGAGGCAGAGTACTGCACTTGGCTTTGAGTCCAGACCAGACCCAAGTGTTTTCTGCTGCAGCTGATGGCACAGCCTGTGTATGGAATTGCTGTTAGCCACTTAGCCCCTCTAAGCTTCAGTTTCCTTATTTCTAAGTGAGAATAATGATGTTGGCTTTGTCTTCTGCATGGGGTTGTTATGAGGATCAAACAAGATGAAACGCTTTTCCGGAGGTGAATGCCTGTTCTCCTGACCTTCTTTCTCAGGTTACTTTATTTGCTCTGCTTCCTCTCATTGCATTTCCCAGGCATTATCTTTGATCCTCCCATTCTTCTCTCTCCATTTTCCCCCCTCTTTCTTCTTCTCCTTTTTTCCCTCCTCCTCCTGCTACTCATTTTTCTTCTCTCTCCATCTCTTCCTTGTTAGAGACTCATTTTCACTACTATACTCGGAATAATATCTATAGCAAAGATTTCTGAACACTTCTTTCCCACTTGACTTTTCTCCCAAGCTCCAGCTTCGTACTTCCTGTCTGCCTCTGGATATTTCATCTTTGAGATCCTTTTCTGTCTTTAGCTCACACTCAATACATTAAAAACACAACTTACTCACTTGAAAGATATTGATAGAAATCCTACTGTATGCTACACAGTTGAGCATGCATATTATTTCCTCCCAAAATGAGCTCCTCTGTAGGACTCCCTTTCCCCTCTTCATGGTCTTATCCTTATCCTGGTCATTCCATCACTCAGGGAGCCTCCTGGTTGTCTGGTTGTTGTGCTCCATGCTCACTTAGTTTACCCCTTGTTCTCTTTTCTTTTGTTTCACCCTAGTCATGTTCTGAATACCTGGTATCTTAGTCTGCCGTAATTGCCTTCTAACTGTTTTTCCCGTTTTTATTCTTCATGGATCTCCATGCCACAGTTAGGTTAACTTTCTAAAAGCACTGTGCCGATCCTGTCAGTCCTCTGCTCATACACTCTCAGTGACTCCCCTGTTACCTAAATCCCTTATCCTCAACCTCGGAGTCCTGAGCCCAGAACCTGAAGTTAAGGGACCTGTTCTCGCCTTGGCTCTGCTGCAAGGACCTTGGATATGTCACAACATTCACAAAAATAGGAATTTGGATTTGATGGTTGGTAAGCTTTCTTCCAGCTTGATCAGTCCACTGTTCTATCTTTTTAACATTGATCCCCATTCATCTTCTATATTAACCCTTTGCTAAATTTATGATTTCCTGCCTCGGTACATTTGTTGGAGCTTTTCTTCTAGTCTGGAATTTCTCCTCCTCTCTTCATTTCTTTGCATATCTGCATAAATTCTGACCTCTTTAGGAAGTGTTTTGAAATGACGTTACCTGAGTTTGAACTCTTGGCATTAGTCAGTTATCACCTAGTTGGTATTAATATACTATTATAGTTGTTTAAAAAATCTTTTATTACTGTGTGAATGTACTTATTGTAGTTTTAACATGCTTATTTCTTTCCTAGATGATTATATTGAAGAGTTGAGGGAGCATATATACTTTTTATTGCCTCTTAGAATATTTTGCAGGTGTCAGATAACAGATATTGATTGATTTGTTTGCTTTGTCATAAAATGTTTTTACCAATACCTACTTATGCCATTCCCCTTTTCCCTCTAAAGTGCCCCATAAAACAAAACAAAAATCTTGATAATTGAAAAGTAGAATAGTATATACAAGGGGAATGAGAGCTCACCTGCCAAATTAGTGTTAATTTGTCAATATGTAATTTTCTTTTCCCTGTTTTTTAACTAACAAAATCTACTGGATAGTGCTTGTAATTCCTTAGAAAAATTTAGGTCACCAAAAGCTGCAAATGTGATACTTTTCTGCAATATACACTCTTCTTCTTTAAGCTAATAGTTTTCATTTTATCTTCTTAATTAACCGGGTATAAATTATAAGAAGAGGTGTATCAGGGAAATGAACAAAATGATTAGGCCATTTCTAGTATCTCTCACCATTCTATCTGAGTGCTTCTGTCTTAACTATGTCTTATGAAACTATGTCATGACCAAAGATCACTTCTCTCAGCTAATACTAATGTGTGAACACGGGGTTTCATTTAAGGAAAATGGCAATATATTGTTTACCTGGTATTAGTTTTGGTGGAAAGTCTGGGATGTGGTTTTAGTAAAGAAAAAAAGTAAACTTACAGATGATACATAAAACAGAAGCCTTTGCTACGACTGATTTAAAAATTTTGTAATTTAAAATTTTACTGAGTAATAATTCACACATAGTAAAGTACATAAGCTTTAAGTATATAGCTTTGATGAGTTTTTCATTTATAAATAGATAACTGTGTAACCACCATCTAGATTAAGATATGAACATTTTCTGTACCCTAAAAGACTTCCTGTGCCCACTCCCAGTCAACATCTTTTTATTATTATGACCTGTATCACCATGGATTAGTTTTGCCTTATGTCAACCATCAGATAAATGGAATCATACAGTAAATATTTTTCTTTGGCTTCTTTCACTCAACATTAAGTTTGTAAGATTAATTTATGTTGTTGCATGTGACTGTAGTTTGTTCCTTTTCATTGCTGTGCAGTATAAGCCCCTCTGTCATATAAATGTATAATTGCTTATCCATTTTTTTGTTGATGGATATTTGAGTTATTTTCAATTTTGAGTTTTAAGAATAAAGTTACTATGCACATTCTTGAACACATCTTTTGTGAAAAAAAGCAATTGTTTCTGTTTAGTATATACCCAGGAGCGGAATTGTTAGGTCATAGGGTATGTATACATTTAGTTTTAATAGACCCTGCTAATTTTCCTAAGAAGCTGTACCAATTTACATTTCTACCAGCAACAAACAAAGGTTCCAAACTACTTTATAAGTAGACTTCAAAATCTGTAATAAATGTTGGTAGTATGGAATATTCCATCTTTTTATTGCTGTTAAAATCCTAACTAGGAATTCAGGGTTAGAGCAGGTGTATAAAATATCATCCTAGTGACTCTCCTAGAGTTTCTCTTTTAGATATTAACACCAGGCCTCACTTTCTAGTATAGGGGTTCTTATCCCTAGCAGCATATAGGATCATTGGGCAGCTTATGTACAGAATACTATGATCTGGGTCCTATTGAATACAAATTAAATAAAAATTTCTAGAGGTAGAGTGTAGGCATTGGTAATTTTCAAGAGCCTGGTGAGTCTAATGGGCAGCCATGGTTGAAAACCAATGTACTAGTATTTTAGTCAGTTCTTTAGTTATGCTTCTTTTGGGGGCGGGGGGGCGGGCTTAAGAGGTTATCTCTGGTGTTGCTGTATGTCTTTGGTTCAGATATACATTTTTTTTGTTTACTTGATGTAATTTACATAACTTCCAATTTTACATATTTGATCCCTTTTATCCTATCTACCTCCGCCCCTCCTCCCAGGTATATGTTTTGTGTGTGTATGTATATACATGTATACACACACATAAAATTTATATTCCTAAAGGAACTGATGGAAATCAAAAGAATCTGTTCACATAATTGCATCTTGAAGCCACTACTGGGCTGATGACTATCCACTAATTTCTATATGCTGAATAAACTTTATGGGGCTTTTTCCAAGGGAAGTTTCTGGCTACAAATCAATACTTACTCCCCACTATGGCATGGCAGCCTCTGTAACTTCCGTGTTGATTGGACCTATCTAGGCTTAGGGACAAGAAAAACCAAGAAATCACCTAAATAATCCAAGGCTTAAATGCAAACTACTGAGTAAGGAGGCTGACTTTCTGTTTTATATTTTTCTTGGCTGGCAAAGTGCTTCACTTAGATCCCTTAGAATTTTAAAACCTATTTCTTACCTGCCTTTGGAAAATGCTGTAAGGCATTTCCTGTTTCTGTTTCTATTTCACCCATAAACTCAGTTTTTTTTTTTAATATAAATCTGAATAGCATATGTCTATGTGGAACAATGGCCTTCGAAGGGCAAACTCATTTCCTTTTAACCCAAATGCTTCAGACTGGCTGTTCCTGTTTCCTGCAGAATTGCTGAGCCCTTCTCTGTACTTGTTACTAGATGGACTTCATTGCTACTCTTGCTGTGTCCCATTGAGACACTGAAGTGAATAATTCAAGCAAAATTTGCATATCGCTTGACACATGGATGACACTGGTGACAGTGGTCACCTAATCTCTCCCTTGCATTATCCATGAGGTCATTATATTATTCCGCCTCTCTTTGCTGGTGGAGATCTGCCCACTAAAGTTATAAGAGAGAAATGAGTATAATCATCCAAATTGGTTTTATTTATGACAGAATTAAAAAGTGACAGCCAATCAAATGAAATACAATTATCTAAACTTCCCCCTTCATAGTCTTAATTATCCAGTTGAGGTGTTTGTCTGAGAGAAGAGTATAGATGCCAGGTCCTCGAGGGTCTCCACATTTTCCTGGAATGCCAAAGGCAGTGATGCCTCTCAAAGTACCCTGACATATCAGAGGGCTTCCAGAATCTCCCTGGGGGAAAACAAGAAGGGTGGTGAGAATTAGCATGAACATGACCATAGATGAACAGAAGAACTATAATTTAATGTGGAGTTAAGACCAACCTTCACTTAATTAAAAATTTGTACTTAAAAAAACCAAAATGTTGAGAATATTTTAATATTTTTAAATTGGCTTCATAGATTTACTTATGAACCAGTGAAAATTGAAATGAAGCTTGTGTTATTGTTTATGTTATCTACTAATTTTGAGACTGCTTCTCTGCTTCAGAAAGGAAACCCTCCTATTTGTCATTTTCTCAAAATGTTTAATAACTCAAGGGGTAAAATAGTCAAATGCAGATGAAACTTTGAGTCAAAGAATAAAAACTATGTTTTCTAATTCCTCCAGCAGATAATCTTCCCAAAGAAACAAAACCAAAGCAACCTTCTTCCCTTTCACCCTCTTGAATAGACAAAAACTTCTTCCGAAGTCTCCTTTGAGCATATGATACTAGACAGAAGCTCCCAGAAATCAGCGATTACACTTCAGAGCTAACTGAGTCCACAGCAGAGAGGCTTTAGTTAGTTGTAAGTCACTGTTTAATTCTTTCTGACTGTGCCACCCAATGTGTGACCTTGTAGTGTCTCATGCAATTCTAAAATCAGCATAGTTTAACATATTCCAGGTCTAGAGACTGGATTGGCCATTTCATTGCTTTG